TGCAGAAAGAAGCCTCAAAGCTTCCCTTATGTGATTAAAAGCAGCAACTGCTGAGAAATGAGGCTGCCATAAATTCTCTTTCGGCAGGTCTACTCCCAGAAAGAAAAGTAAGAATACACCTGTTATAAATCCCCTCTCTGGTATAGTTTCATGGCCATGAAGAAGAGGGAAAGAACACTGCACTTGCATCGACATATATTATTATGAAATTTTGTATCTTCTTTTTATTCTCCTAAAAATCCACTTATTCTTCTTCCCTAAAGAAATCTATTTGCAGTCAGGTCCGGTGGCTCACACCTATAATCCCAGCAATTTGGGAGGCTGACACAGGCAGATCATTTGAGGTCAGAAGTTCAAGGCTAGCCTGGGCAACATGGTGAAATCCCTTCTCCACTAAAAAATACAAAAATTAGCCGGGCGTGGTGGCACGTGCCTGTAATCCCAGGTACTTTGGAGGCTGAGGCAGGAGAATCGCTTGAACCCAGGAGGTGAAGGTTACAGTGGGCCAAGATCACGCCACTGCACTTCAGCCTGGGTGACAGAGCAAGACTCCGTATCAAAAAAAAAAAAAAAGAAACCTATTTACTCCTCTCTTAGGACAAATTTCTTCCCCCTCCCTTTCCTCTACTAAGTTAGGTATACTGTATAAGCCTCAAACTTTAAACAATTAGAGAGCTGAATTCTTACATTAATTTGTCTTTTGTCATTTTAATCTACAGTCCCCCACAGAATGAACCTAAAAGGATAGAGAAAAAGATTTTCTTTCCTGATCAATCAGGTGTAAGAATTGATGAATGAAAAACTAGAAAGATTGAGTGAGGCATGGGGAGGTTTTGAGATAATGATTTAGTTAATGATGCTTCTAAGATATGAATAATCGAAACAGTGGTGGTAGCTTTAACACTCCATAGATGGGCATTGCAAGTCTAGCCAAGCCAATTAAAAAACAAGAGTCTTAAATTTTTTCTTCCACTAAATTTAAACAAATCACAGGTCTACTTATGCTTTTAATGTTATTTTTTATTAAAAAAACATAATTTATTAAATACTAGTGGCAAGGGAGGGAATTTTCAGTACTAGGTCACATACTATAAGAACCCTTTGAATATAATAGAATCATTCAACACTATTATGACTTTTTCACACATTTGTCACTACTATTCAGAGCAAGAAGTAACCTTCCCAAACCTGTTAACTAGCAGGAAATGAAGCTCCAAAGCCCATCCATCCTTCTTACACAGATAGAAAAGTTCCCTTGAGAGCAGTAAGCTGGGAAAGCTTTCCACTCTTACTAAGTTCCCTATAAATTTACTGTAATACTGACGGTTTTTCAATCAGGAAAAAACAAGCATCTAGATTTGTTAATGCTTCCCTTTGCTTCATCGTTTGGGTAGTTTAACGTATCTTCCATTCAATTCACTGGAAAGGACAATCAAAATCTGCCATGCCCTTCACCCCTTCACCCCCAGAGAAAGTCTCCACCCAGACCCTGGAGCCTGAAAGTTGTTGAGATTTTCTTGTCTCATCATTCACGTGGCTGTGACAACATTCTACACTCCTGTGCTGCCCTGTAGCCCTACCCAGACCCTAGCGTTTTTACTTCCATTTCTCCCACCCCAGAGCCCCCACAGTGAGTGCTCTAAGACCCCTTTATAAATGCCTCTTTCTTCCAGGGTCCATCTGAACCTCAGGGTCCTCTAGGATACCCAGGACCTCGAGGGTCAAGGTAACCGACCTCCTGGCTGGGGATAAGGGACTGTGTTCAGGGAAGCAAGATGGGGTCTCAAGATTTTGGTCTTTTTAACCCACTTCCATCCCCTGACCACTCAATTTCTGTTCACCTCTAAGTCCAGGGTAGAGATAGAATTTGGAGTCTGAAGGGCCATGAGGTTGCAGAGGTGAGCACCATGTCCCCAGCTTCCCAGCACCTCACTCCCGCCTGCCCCACGCTACCCTCCAGCTCTTGAGCCCACCCTTCCAGCCATGTTCTCAGAATCCTACATTAGAACCCCCAGCCCTCTCCCATCTGTGGGGGTCCTCTTACCTCCATCAGGGGAGAACGACTGTCTGGGATTCATAGGTGACATAGGTGTGAAGGATATCAGGATGAGTGGAGACTTCACACTGGCCCCAACTTCATGTCCTAATGATTCACTCTGGAGCCCCCAAGCACCAGTTCATTCTCTGGAGGCCCTGGGCTCCCCAGTGCTGTGCATCCTTGGGGGCCTGATCCCTGCAGGACTGTAATCCCACAGTCTGCATCACGCTGGCCATGGATGACAACACTATTCATACACTTCGGCGTTCCCTGTCCCACAATAGCTCCTGGGATCTACCAGCCCCACTCAGCCTCTCTGGTAACTGCTTCTCCTCTGGGTTCAGACTTCATCCCCAGACCCTAACGCTCACCTCTCCCACCCTCTCCCTCCCTGGCTGCGCTTCCTCCACAGGGAACATCAGGTTTTGATGGCCTCCATGATCCCCCAGAGAAAGGGTGTGGCTTGGATGTCTTCCTCTGTGCTCCCCAGGGAGCAGCAGCATCAGAGTGCTCCCAGGGTGCCAAAGGGACACACTGGACCGACTGGAGACCCTGGGCCCCCTGGACTCACAGGCGAGGAGATGACAAGAGAGGGATCTGTGCCTGGGCACTCTAGGGATGAAGGCACATGGGGTCAGGGTGGGCATGGGGGTGCCTGCAGCCAGTCAGTTAAAGATGACTATGTATTCATTATGCTCCTTTCTCTGTATACGGCACCTCCTGGCTGCCGATGGATTGAGGCGGGTATAGAAGTCAAGGAAAAGCCACTGTCATGAAGACTTGGCACAGAGTGGCTACAGGTCCAAGCAGAGTGAACATGCGTCCAAACTGAGCAGCGGCAGCCCCTAGAAGGGAGACACCAACAGCAGCGAGACCTGTGGTCTCCAGAGCTGACTTCTCCTGCACTTGCCACATGCAGGCACTGTGCGGGACCTCCTCTCCATCCTGTGAGGTGGGTGTAGCTGGTCTTATTTTGCAGGTGAGGCTTTGCAGGTGCACAAGCAGGCCAAGTCATCAGAGGGTCATCAAATGACAGGGCAGGGGCTGAGCCACATTGGTTGGGCTGCAGAATCACTGCTCCCAACCTCCTGCCCCACAGCTGCCTGGGCAGGATGAGCCCTGGAGCAGCAGGAGGAAGGGGTATGCAGGGGAGTTGGGTGCTGCACTGCGTGGGCAAATGGCCGGAGACCTGTGGGGAAACTGGTCGTGGTGAAGCAAGAGTGGGTGCTGGGGCAGATGGAGCTGAGGGTAGCAGGTGGGCAGCAACTGGATCACAGTGACCCTGAAGGACTTGTCAGAGTTGCAGGCATAGGGACGTCGGATCCCAGCACTAGAGTTGGAGAAAATTAACTCTTAGGAAGAGGGAGCCTGGGTGTGCTGGCTCCTTCCTCACCCCAGGGAGGAAGCTGAGTTCCCCTGCCCAGCACCTGCCCCATTCTCCTGACTCTATCCACCTCTGTCTCTAGGGTTTCCCTGAATCTCAGGGTCTCAATGGATTTTCTGACCCCAAAGGGCCCCTGGTGAGTTGTCACCTGAGCTCTGACCCACCCCTGAGTCCTTCCCTGCCCTCCTTCCAGCCCAGAATTCACCTGACATCTGGACTTCTTCCAGGGCACCCTGGGAATGACAAGCTGCGGGACACCCGGGCCAGAGAGGAGAGGTGGTGAGGGATACCCCTGGCCACCAATTCTCAGGGGGCCCGTCAAATTCCAAAGCTGTCTGGAAGGACCACGGAGACATTCTCTGGGCAGAACACAGCCTGTCCTAATGCTGCCCACACTCATGGGCCGGGGCTCAATGTGACCCTGTTCCTCCCCTGGAGCCCAGGCATCTACCCCACAGCACCCACTGCATGCTCCCCTTTTCCTCTCAGGGTTTCCAAGGGGAGAGCAGCCCTCATGGCCCCCCATAAGTGGTAGGACCTCAGCTAGGTCTCTCCCCAGGAGGGAACGGCTCCCAGACCCTGGAGTTAAGTCTGTCTGGCTCTCTTCTCTCAGTCACACACCCCTGCCCCGGCTTGCATGTCTGGAACAGGTAGCTAGGGACGTAAGAGGGCCCAGGAATCTCTCTGTTTAATTTGGCAGCACGGATAGCTGTGGCTCCTCACCTCTCCTTTTCTTTTAGGGTGATCATGGGATTCAAGGGAAGGATGTTCCTGGTCTGAGGGCTTCCCAGGAGACAAAGGCCTCCTAGGCACTGCTGTGAGTGTGACTCCTAGAGCCCTGCTTGGACCAAGTACCAAGCGACTGATCCCCTCCCTGACCTTGACCCTGCTCCTTGCCACTCCCCACTCCCCACTCCCATCTTTCCTATCTCCTCTCACCAGCCCTCACCCTTCTCTTTTCTGTAAAGCTCCACCTTCCCCAAATCTCTGCTTCAGAGCGTGGACCCAGCTTGAAGGGGAATGAGGTCCAGCTGGCCCCCTTACCCTGCAGGGAGCCTGGGGTTCCTGGGGAGTGGGAGGAGGGAACCAGGAAAGGGGGTGTTGAGGCAGGGTGGAGGTGGCATCCGGATCTAGGCAGGTGCTGTGGGACTGGGCAGAGGGAATCTAGACTCAGCCAGAATGCAGCTGATTTGAGGCTCTTCTCCTGGGAATTGTGCTCTGAGGGTCCCTGTATGAGTGGGCTTGGGTCTCCCTTCCTGGGGGTCTGACTCATCTCAGCTCTCAGGGTTTCCCCCTAGGGACTAAGGTGCAGCAGGATCAAGGGACCCATTCCTCCCCACCAGGGTGCCCCGGCCCTCAGGAACCCCTTGGATCAGCAGAAGAGACAGGTGTTCCAGTGAGAGCGGGGATCCCGGGGAGGGGTTCTTGGGGAGGGGTCTGTAGGCTGAGGGGTGATGGGCTATGAAGGGTTTCCTGCGGGTGTTTGAGGGTGAGGGTCACCTCCAGGCCATGACTCCTCCTTCCTGCCCCACGGGGTGAAAAGGACCCCATTTGTCTGCCTGGCCGTGATAGGGTGCAGAGTCATGTGTCACTTCCTGGTCCTGCTGGGCCTCCAGGTGTGGCTGGAGAAGATGGAGACCAAGAGAAGAACCCCAGAGAACCCAGCCAATCTTCTCTCCACATGAGAGGGCTGAGGTGGGCTTGACCCCTGAGCTCTATCATTTCCTCCCTCTAATATCTCCTTTGCCTTCTCCTCCACGGTGAGGTGCGGGAACCCCAGAAAGAAGGGCACCAAAGGGAACAAGTGTCCATGACCTTGACGCCCTGGCCTTTAACCTCATTCCCTCCTGGTCCCTTCCTGCCTTGGTGTTTCTGACTCTCCTCTCTCCCCCAGGGCTCTCCTGGACCCCCTGGGCTCATCGGTCTATGGAACAGCCTGGAGCAGTGGTAAGTGAACCCTTGGGCCCCACCCGAGGCCCTGGCAGCCTCTGCTCTGCCTTCAGTTCCCCTCTGCCCCTGAGGCTGGGTTTGGGAGTGGGGGCTCTGGACCTGGTACCCAGCTCTGTAGGGGTTTGTGAATAGAGAACGCCTGACCCATGACCCATGTCTATCTGTGTCCTTGTCCCTGCTTCCCACCTTCCCCAGGGAGCAGATTGGGAGCCCGGAGCTCAGGGACCCCAGGGACACTTTGGAGCCAGAGTGTGCGGAGCCAAAGGCAATAAAGGAACAAGAGGATTCACGGACCTACAGGTGAGTTGCGGCTGGCGACGGGCTGAGAGGCAGGGTCAGGATGAGGTGCTGTGTGTCCCAGACCCTGCTAGCAATATGCTTTGAGGACTGGGTCAGTGGGAGCAGAAGTCTGAGGGCCGTGTGGGGTCTGAGTGGAGGGGCTGTGGGACCCATAAGTCTAGGGCTGTGCTTTGGGTGGGCGGTCACCTGGGTCCATGCTTTCTGCACCTGCATAGCGTGTGCCATGCCCCTCTGGGGAGAAAGGAGAAACAGGAGATGTGGGTCCTATGGTGAATGTGACCCCTACTGACTCCAGACCCCAAATGGTCACCCCCGCCTGGCCAGCCCCCACCCTACTGCTGCCTCCCTGGCCTGACTGCTCTTCCTCCATCCACACTCCTTCATCGTGCCATTTCACGTCCCTTCCCCAGCTCTGGTGTATCTGTTCCCCCCCAAAGACTACCTGGACCCAGTGACACTGATGTGAGTCATCCCAGCCCCTGCCCCTTCAGATCAATGTGTCTGATCCTCCCCCCCTTTCCCCAGATCATAAACTCTTCACCCCTGAGAAGCCCCTTCCCCTGGGAGGCCTCTACTGTCCCACTGCCAGGACCTCGGGGCACTCATCGGGGCCTCTGCCCCTGCAATAACCCCACCTCCCAAAGGATCCACAAGGTCCCCTGAGAGGTGTTGGGGACCTGGGTCCTCCTGGAGAGAAGGTAATTGGGAAAGGGCTGAAGGGGATGAAGGGACCAGTCTTGTGGATGAGGAATGAGAGTTGGATTTCTGCCAATTTTTGTTGAGGAGACAAAAGAGAATAAAATGTGGAGAATACCAGGATTTTGTGAGGGGGAAATGAAGTTTTTGACCCCAATCTCTTGGCTGCTGGAGCCAGGAGAGACAGGATCTCCAGGAATCCAGGGTGAGCCAGGTGTCAGGTGAGTGACAGCTCCAGGGCCCTGCTTCAGCTTCAGAATTCCCTTCACCCCCCCCCAAGCTGCACCCCTCTCTTTTCCTGTGACTTCCTTAAGTTGGAGCTCCTCTGCGGCCAGGAGTCTCCACTCCCAACCATCTTCTGAACGAGCCTTTCCACCCTGTCCTTGAAGGGAAGGGGACCAGGGGACTCCCCTTATAGGCTAGACTTTCTTTGTGTGTCCCATTGTCCCCGAGGGCAGTAGGGAGTGGCTAAAGGTGTCTTGGAAGCAGGGGCTGCATCCCTGTTCTTCAAGACCCTCTGTGCTCTCCACTTGTTCTGCAGGGTACACACGGGGAGTGTGGGGGGAAAGGAGAGTCAGGGCAGCCAAGTTTCTGGGAATATGGGTGTCTGTGAGTGAGGATCTTGGAGTGTGGGGAGCCTGGGAGTGGGGGGATGCCTGGGAGGGAGGCTCTGGGAATGGGGTGTCCTGGGAGGATGCATGAGATCTGGAGTCCAGAGAGAAAGTGAGAGATACCCTGTGGCTACTACTGTAAGGCATTAGACAGCATGCAGTGCTTGAGGTGGGGATGGGGATGCAGAGACCCTCTTCCTAAGGAGGTGCCGACATATGAACCTGTAGAGAGGAAGAGGGTCTCTTGTGCCTGTGGGAGTCTGTGTTGGGTGGGCTCACGGGGCTGTGACCCTGACTCTTGTTCTCCCTCTGGATTAGGGTCTTGGTTTTCCTGGAGACCCTGGCCTCCTGGAAGAAGGTAGCTCATGTGAGTCTTGCCCATGGAGGGGAAGGGATGAAGAGGTTGGGGCTTCCATGGGGGGCCTCTGTGCAACTAATGGGCTTGGATGTTGGGAAGCTGGAGATATGTCAGGGCAAGCAGGGGGATGCAAGGTTTAGCTGTTTTAGGGGTGATGCCAGCCAAGTCTGGCCTTGCTTCATCCCTGCAGGATCAGGACAGTGTTAAGGGTGACTACGGCAAGGATGGTGAGCCAAGACAGCCTGTGAATGACCAATGACCCTGCCACCTCCATTGAGCTCCAGCCTTCAGTCCATTACCCCTCTCTTCTGTGCCCCACTCCTGAGGGGTCCCTTGGCTGGAGGCCAACACTCACCCACCCCAATTCCTCTCGTTCTGTGGATCCTCTGGTTCCACTGGGGAGAATGGACTACCTGGACCACATGGAAAGTAGAAGACCCTGGGACCTTGGGAAGCAGTCCCTGGGAAATGTGGGTAGAGGCTAGGTGGCGACAGGTAGCACTGACAGGGAGATGCCTGGTGTCTGTGCTGTCCCTGGATGTGGTGTGTTGCATGAGCACCTGGGTTTATGAGTGTGTTGTGTCTTGGGTATGTTGCTCTTGGGTTTTGGTGTGCATGTTCTCACCAGGGCTGGTTACATGTACTGGCCAATCAGAATGGACACTGGAGGAGGAGTTGGCCGACTTTTCTGCTGGGCCAGGGGTTAACCTGGGCCACCAGGTGGGGTGTGGGCAAGGGGTTCTTCCCCAAGCATCCATGCTTCTCAGTATTTTCACAGCAGACACAGCTCCATCTGTTCTGAACTCACACTCTGCTTCTGTGCCTGTGTGTGCAGTGTGTGCACACAGTGTGTGTACATATGTGTGCATGCAGTGTGCACATGCAGGGTGTACACATGTGTGTGTACAGTATGTGTGCAGTGTGTGTGCATGTGTGTGTGTAACACATGAAGGGGAAGAGTGGAGACTCACTGTCCAGGACCTCATATCTTCTCCCTTCCTGCCCCATCTGCAGGGTCAGCTAGGGATAGTCATGACTCTAATCAAGTGTCATTTAGGACACAGGAAGATACCGAATGAGGAAACTCTCCCCAGTCCTAAACTCATCCACAAATTAGAATACATAGGTCCAGCCCAGGTGCTGTGGCTGAAGCCCGCAATCCTCCCGCTTCCTGCTTCAGGAGACCAAGGCAAGAGGATCTCTCCAAGTGTGAGTTGGAGGCCAGATTGGGTGACACAACCAGGAAAAGCAAGTGACCACCAGGTGGCGCCGGAGACCTGGAGAGCTGGGCCCAAGTTCCCTGGGAGGGATCTGCACCCAGCCCTGGGATGGCGCATGGGTGCCTCATGGGACACCCAGCCTCATCCTGGTAGCCCTGTGCTTGCATTTCCTGGCCCTGGGGTGTCCTCCCTGACCGCACATGTGTGTAGAGACCATTCCTCATCTCCGAAGAGGAATTTGGAACAATTCTCACATGACCTGATGGGGGACGGCACCCAGGCTCAGGGTCCCCTTTTTGTCCTCAGAGTATGACCAGGCCGGTGGCTCTTGCTCATTGTCCAAGAGCATGGGAGGTTGCCTGTGGCAAGGCCCCGGAGGACACTCCTGTGCTACCTGGGACCAGGAGGCCCAGCTGCCTTCTCCTAGCACCCCTCACGTCTAGGGACTGTGCAGGAAATGGGTGCAGAGGCCGTTGCGGTGGCTGCTCCTGGGGTCCCAGCAGCTCTGGCCGAGGCAGGAGGAGCCGGGGAGCCCAGGAGGCTGAGGCCCCTGTCCTACCAATCTGGTCGTGCTGCAGTCTCTGTCACCAACACAAACTGCAGTGAGGTGAGCCACTGGGCTGTAGGCTCTAGCCTCCAGTGTGCAACAGGTGCCTCCCCTTTCTGACTCCTCCTGTAGGGGGACGCAGAGAAGCTCTGCTCATGGCCGCCTCCTACCACTCCCACCAGGCTGCAGTCTTGGTGGCCACCACTAACCACAGGGAGCCTGGCCGGGCAACGCAAGTTGCATCCTCCACCTCCTCCTCTAAGTCAGGCATGGAGCAGCAGTGAAGCAGTGGCAGAAGAGGCTGGAATGGCAGAACACACCCTCAGCGTGCATTATATATAGAGGTTACAGAAATGAGGTCCTGGACTTTGTGTTCTGATTGGATGGGGGAAAACCTCTAGGCCTACTCTGATTGGACTTTATCTTCAGATCCTGATTGGTTATCCTAAGAGTTGCTCTCATCCAATCTTCTTTATAAGTGGTCATCTTTGTAAGTTCATGCCCATTGGGAGTTAGTGAAGTTGTGAATGATTACATTTAAACTTATCCTGTAATTTTAGTCTGACTTATTAATTCCACCCATTTGCTTAAGCAAATTATTCTCTATAATGATGACCCAAGCAAATTCCTGTCCCAAGATGGTATCAAGATGATACCCCAAGTTCCTCTCCAGAATGGTATCTGGATATATGTGGAGAAATATGTTTTCTAGGCCTGTATTAAATATGGCACTAAAGCTTAGTGGCTTAAAAAAAATACACTCTTATTATCTCACAGCTTCTGTGAATAAGTAGTTTAGGAGAATGTAGTTGTGTGATTCTTGCCAAGAGTCTCAAAAGGTTGCAGTTAATCTGTTGGTGAGAATTGTAGTTACTTGAAGAGTTGGCTGGAGTTGAAGAATTTATATCAAAGATGGCTTACTCATGGCCATTGGATGGAAGCCTCAGTTTCAGAATGGCTCTTGGAAATAGGCCTTTTTACTTGCCACATAGACCTCTCCATAGGCTGACTGAATGTCCTCCAATGTGTCATCTGGCTTTCTCCAGTGCAAAAGATCCAAGAAGAGAGTATGAAGGAACACGTAATGCTCTTTATAATTTTGTCACAGACTGTCACTTTTGCCATACTGTATTGTTTGGAAGTTAGTCACTAAGTCTAGCCCACACTCAAAAGAATGAGAATTAACCTCCACCTTTGGAAGAGAGGCTAGTCAAAGCACTTGTGGACATGTTTTGAAACCACAAAGGGGTATGTCTGCCGGTCTCCAAGATGGCCCCCAGTGATTCTCATCAACTGTTATTAATACTTTTGTATAGTCCCTTCCCACAAGAAAAAAGGGTTGATCTGTTTAATTAGTATGATTTTGTTGAAATGACAGAGTCTGACTTCCAAGTTTAGGTCAGAAGAATTTTGACTTCTGTCTTGTTCTCTGTTGGATCAATATCCCTAGGGGAAGCTAGATGCAATGTCATGAAACCATTCAAACAGTCCCATGGAACAATCCATCTAGCAAGGAACTGCTATCTCCTGGCCTGGCAATAGCTGGCATTAACTTACAGGCCGTATGAGTGGGTCATCTTAGAATTGGATTCTTCAGTCCAAATGGAAGTCTTCAGATAACTGTAGCCCTGGCTGACATCTTGATTACATCCTCGAGAGAGACCCTGAGCCACAATCACTCAGTTAAGCCACCGAGTTCTTTTTGCCAAGAACTTTTTTTTTACCAAGTTCTTTTTGCCACCAACTTTACTGAGTTATAATTGACAGTTACAATTGTATATATTTAAGGAAAACAACTTGATGATTTGATATACACATACATTGTGAAATAATCGTGACAATTAGGTTAACATATTCATTACTTCACATAATTACCATTTGTGTGTGTGTGTGTGTGTGTGTGTGTGTGTGTGTGTGTGTGTGTAGTGAGAACACTTAAGATCTATCCTCCTAACAAATTTCAAGTGTACAATATACTGTTGTTAACTACGGTCATATTATTATATACTATGTCTCCAGAAGTTGTTCACCTTGTGTAACTGAGATGCTGTACCCTTGACCAATGTCTCTCCATTTTCTTCTCCCTCCAGCCCCTGGTAACTACCCTTCTACTTTCCAGTTCTATAAATTTGACTCTTTTAGATTCCGTATATAAGTCAAATTTTTGACCCTTAGAAGTTGGATGAGATAATAAATATTTATTGTTATTTTCAGCCTCTATGATTTTAAGTAATTTGTTATGCAGTAATAGAAGTGGCTACATGAAGCTATGGCACTGGTTAACTTATTTATTCAGTAAACATTTGCTGAGAGCAGACTAAGTGCCAGGATCAATTTTAAAATTTGGGATACAGGGTTAAGTCAAAATGGCAGACTAGAAGCAGATCATGTGCACTACTCTCATGGAGAGGAAACAAAATGACTAGTGAACACTGATCTTGCAATTTGATCCTCCAAGAAGCCACATCAGCATCCATCAAGGCAGCAAGGGGACACAGACAGGAGAGTGGAGTGAAGCTGGGCGGCCCATCTGGGATCAGCATGGAGCTAGGAGAAGCTCTCGAACATAGGGAAAGGGTAAGTGATTGAGAGCCCCTGGAGGATTCAGTCTTCACAGGGACTTGTGCAAGCCTTGGAACAGGATAATCCCTTTGACCCACCCCCTGCACCTCTAAGCCAATGCAGAGAGACACCCAGAGTTTTGTGGAGGCAACTCTCAGGTCCCCAGGGACTGCTGGAAGCCTTGGACCCTGGAACAGTCCAGCACCAGTGCCATAGCTCCCACAGAGGCTGCAGTCATGGTACCTGGGAGCAGTAAGATTGCTCCACCCCAAATCACTTAGACAAAGCTCAGCACCAGCCTCTGACCCAATGGTCCTGCTTCTGTTTTCACTTTACCAACAGGTGCAGCCTCCTGTTCCTCCAGGAAACACCCAAACAACAGGACAGGCAACATCACCCAATCCCCGCCACTTGTAGCCATGCAGGCCAGACTTGCTAGAGCTTCCAGCCCAGTGGTACCACTTCTGTCTGAACTCTGCTGACAAGCACAGCCTCTTGTTCCCCTAGGAAACACCCTAATGGCAGGGCGAGTGACTCCACCGACTCCCACTGCTCACGGCCAGCAGCCCACACCTGCTAGAGCTTCCAGCCCAGCAGTCCTGCTTTTATATGAACTCTGCAGGTGGGGGCAACTCCATGTTCCCCTGGGAAGCACCTAGACAGAATAGGTGACTCCATTCATCCCTGCAACTCCTAGCCAAGCAGTTCTTGCTGACTTGGGTGGTACCCAAGCCGTGGGGGAGTCCTCACTCTTGCATCACTAAAAGAGGTGAGATGCCCAAGTTCACAGGCCGGTGGAGGAGTGGGTTGTGCCTCCCTCTGTACAGCCATTCCAGAAAGGATATGACCTGTTTGCCAACTGTGGCCCCTGCATGAGGAAGCCCCATGGACGAGAACACCTAATAAAAGAAATACAGGCATGGAGCCAGTGATCAGAGGGGGCTCTTTCAAGGCTCAGGAGTGGACAAGGTGAGGGGGTCATCTCTCCCCCACCCACTACAGAGCACTCCTGCTAACCTGAGGAAAACACAAAAGAGCTGTGCAGCTGAGAAACAGCCTATCTGCCTATCCACTGGCTAACACTTTTAAGTGCCACCTACTGGATCACAGCTGAAAATACAAAAGTATTTTGCCAGTATACAGCACCTGTGAAAACTAAGGCAAAGATTAAGCAACAAATACGCATTTTGTACATACTCCTGACCCTCTGAAAACACCCTAAAATGAAGCCAACTGACTATACTCAACTTACATCAAGTTAAAGGAACACTAACCCTTACACATGAAAAAGAATCAATGCAAAAACTCTGGCAACTCAAAAAGCCAGTGTGCCCCCTTACCTACAAACAAACACACTAGTCCCCCAGAAATGGTTCTTCGCCAGGTTGAGATGACTGAAACGATGGAAATAAAATTCAAGATCTGGATGGCAAGGAAGCTCAATGGGATCAAAGAGAAAGTTGAATCCAAGGAATCCAGTAAAACAATCCAAGAGCTGAAAGATTAAATAGCCATTTTAAGAAAGAACCGGCCGGGTGGGATAGCTCATACCTGTAATCCCAGCACTTTGGAAGGCCGGGGCAGGCGGATTACTTGAAGTCAGGAGTTTGAGATCTGCCTGGCCAACGTGATGAAACCCTGTCTAGGCTAAAATACAAAAACTAGCCAGGCATGGTGGCACACATCTGTAATCCCAGCTACTAGGGAGGCTGAGGCAGGAGAATCACTTGAACCCGGGGTGTGGAGGTTGCAGTGAGCTGATATCGTACCACTGCACTCCAGCCTGGGCAACAAAGCAAGACTCTGTCTCAAACAAAAAAAAAAAAAAGAAGAAAGAAAACCAAACTGAACTTCTGAAACGGAAAGATTCACTTCAAGAATTCTACAATAACATTAGAAGCATCAGTAGCAGAATAGATCAAGCTAAAGAAAGAATTTCAGAGCTTGAGGCCTAGCTCTTCAAATCACTTAGTCAGACAGAAAAAAATTTTTTTTTTTTTGAGACGGAGTCTCGCTCTGTTGCCCAGGCTGGAGTCCTGTGGCATGATCTTGGCTTACTGCAAGCTCCACCTCCTGGGTTCCCGCCATTCTCCTGCCTCAGCCTCCCGAGTAGCTGGGACTACAGGTGCCTGCCACCATGCCCGGCTAATTTTTTGTATTTTTAGTAGAGACAGGGTTTCACCATGTTAGCCAGGATGGTCTCAATCTCCTGACTTCGTGATCCGCCTGTCTCAGCCTCCCAAAGTGCTGGGATCACAGGCGTAAGCCACCACCCCCAGCCTTTTTTTTTTTTTTTTTTTTGAGACAAAGTCTCGCTCTGTTGTCCAGGCTGGAGTACAGTGGCACAATCTTGGCTCACTGCAACCTCCGCCTCCAAGATTCAAGCAATTCTCCTGCCTCAGCCTCCTGAGTGGCTGAGATTACAGGCGCCCGCCACCACGCCCAGCTAATTGTTGTATTTTTAGTAGAGATGAGGTTTCACCATCTTGGTTTGGCTGGTCTCGATCTCCTGACCTCAGGTGATCCACCCGCCTCAGCCTCCCAAAGTACTGGGATTACAGGCATGAGCCACCGTGCCCGGCCTGAAAAAAATTTTTAAAAAGAATTAAAAGTGAATAAAATATTTGAGAAATATGGGATTATGTAAAAAGACCAAACCTACATTTCATTGGCATTTCCAAAAAAGAAGTAACTTGGAGAATATATTTGAAGATACAGTCCATGAAAAGTTTCCCAAACTTTCTAGAGAGGAGAACATACAAATTCAAAAAATGCAGACAACCCTACAAGATACTACACAAGATGACCATCCCCAAGGCACATAGTCATCAGATTCACCAAAGTCAAAGCAAAAGAAATAAATGTTAAAGGCAGCTAGAGAGAAAGGTCAGGTCATCTATAAAGGGAACCCCATCAGGCTAGCAGTAGACGTTGCAACAGAAACTTTACAAGACAGAGGAGAATCAAGGTTTATTTTCAGCATTCTTAAAGAAAATAATTTCCAAGCAAGAATATTGTGTCCCACCAAACTAAGCTTCATAAGTGAAGGAGAAATCAAATACTTCTCAGATAAGCAAGTACTTAAAGGAGTGCTAAACATGAAAACAAAGAACTGAAACATGCTTCTTCAGAAACACATGCAAGGACATAGCCTACAGAGAATGTAAAACAACCACATAACTAAGTCTACAAAATAAACAGCCAACAACATGATGACAGGATCAAAATCTCATATATCAACACTAACCCAGAATGTAAATGGTCTAAATGCCTGACTTAAAATGGATAGCATGTCAAGCTGGACAAAAAGACAAGCCCCAATAGTCTGCTGTCTTCAAGACACCCATCTCTCATATAAAGATACTCACAGTTTCAAAGTAAAAGGATAGAGTAGATCTACCAAACAAACAGAAAACAAAAAAAGAGCAGGAGTCATTATTTTTATATCAGATAAAACAGATTTTAAACCAACAACAATCAGGAAGGATAAAGAAGAGCAGTACATAAAAAAAGGTTTAATGCAACAAGAAGACCTGACTGTTCTAAACATATACGTACCCAATATAGGAGCACCCAGATTCATAAAACAAACTTTTCTTGACTTACAAAAAGACTTAGACAGTCACACAATAGTAGTGGGGGACCTTAACACCCCACTGACAGTGTTAGACAGATCATCAAGGCTGAAAACTAACAAAGAAAATCTGGGCTTAAACTCGACATGTGACCAGTTGAACCTAATAGATGTCTACAGAGTATTCCACCTAACAACCATAGAATATACATATGTTTCATTCATACTATTCTAAGATTGACTACATGCCATCCTGGCTAACATGGTGAAATCCCACCTCTACTAAAAATACAAAAAAATTAGCCAGGTGTGGTGGCACGCGCCTGTAGTCCCAGCTACTCAGGAAGCTGAGGCAGGAGAATCGCTTGAACCTGGGAGGTGGAGGTTGCAGTGATCCAAGATCACTCTACTGCACACCAGCCTGAGTGACAGAGTGAGAATCTGTCTTTAAAAAATTATAGTGCTAAATGCCTTTAACAAGAGGTTATAAAGATCTGAAATGAATGACCTAATGGTGCAACTGGAGGAACTAGATAAAATGAAAAATCCAACCCAGAGCTTGTAGAATAAAAGAAACAACTATAATCAGAGAAGAACGGAATGAAATTTTGACCCAAAAGTCCATACAAAAGATAAAGGAAACAAAGAGTCGGTTCTTCAAAAGAATAAATAAGATCGATGGTTGTTAGCAAGACTAACAAAGGAAGAAATGAGATAATCCAAACAAGCACAATAAGAAATGACAAAGACGACGTTATTACCGATCCCACAGAAATACAAAAGATTCTCAGAGACTATTATGAACACCTTTATGCACACAAATTAGGAAATCTAGAGGAAACTGGTAAGTTCCTAGAAACACACAAACTACCAAGATTCATTCAGGAAGAAAGTGAAAACTTGAATAGACCAATAACAAGTTTGGAAATTGAATCAGCAATAAAAATCCTACCAATCAAAAGAGCTCTGGACCAGGTGGATTCACATCTGAATTTTTCTTTCTTTCTTTCTTTCTTTCTTTCTTTCTTTCTTTCTTTCTTTCTTTCTTTCTTTCTTTCTTTCTTTCCTTCTTTCTTT